GAGTGAACTGTGGATTCGAGGCAGCGTCACGAACCATCTATCCGCCACCACCAACAAGCCACACCTCTCATGCCCGAGTCTCGTTAACGCCACTCATCGAGCGCGAGCGCACGACTTATGACCTGAGAGGCATTTGCCTATCACGCCAAGCATATACACAGTCACGCACACATAAATTTTAGAGATTTACCACAGCTAGGCCTCTGCGGGGTAGACTCTTGAAGCAAAAAAACAAGGAATACATACATGCATAGAGTTCTCACCATCTTTGGTATTATCTTATTAATTATTTAGTATTTACATAAGTACTAAATGTTTGTTGCGATTGTTTTCGCATATTTCAATTTTTAAGCTCGGCACCCAGTTCGAATTTTAAACTTCGTGTCTGATGGTATTGCCTACCGCTTGTTAGGTAGTGAGCACTCACTACAAGTACTAGAGTGGCTTTTAGTGTATAAAAGGTACTCTGGCTGTTTGAAATTATCCACTCGGATCATCCTATCTTAACGACTGCTTAAGCATCGCTCGTTTGGTGAAATTTGAGATACATGGCAGAGGCTAGAGTATTGCATGTTTAATAAATACAACTTTACGAAAACTACAAACTATTGTTTTATCACTCTTTCTCTTATCTACTCTACACACGCTATTAAAAGTACATAAATGATAGTTTAATGGGTGTATTTCAGTATTTATTATGCTAGAAAAAAAATTACGTTAATTCACGTAAATTAACGAACCTAATGAATAAACAAAGCCATTATGTTATTATGATGTTGCTTAATGCGATCAACCTACATCCCGTAAAAAATAAAAATAAAATTCAAAAAATACATTTCAATTTGGATGATTTAAAGAGTAGGTACAGAGTTTTACTCTATGATACATACAGATATCCAGTCCATAACTGACTGGAATGATAACTATATGTACGTACGTACGTAAGTGTGTGGATAGTATAAGTATTGTTTGTTCATGTTTATACATTTATATTTCATTCCTGGAGACTGAGTGATCGTTAAAAAAATGCATCTATTTTTCTCAAATTTCAGAAAACGGAAGTATAGAGACATTCGACAAAGTCAAAATGTATTACTTGACAAAGTTCAAGGCAAAGTTGAAATTCTTTGGTCCCATTCAGATGCATAATTGGACCAAAAACTTTTATAGATGTTAAAATAATTACTTAAACATTCCTTCAATAGTAGATTTTCGCCTTATCCAGTAATTCTGTACTCTTGTTAAATAAAATTGTGTGTTATTAAATTCACATTGTTTAAAGCAGTTTTTAAACAGTAAAGTAAGGTTTTTTAGCTTGTAATTTGATAATTCAATCCCCTCAATCAAGAGCATTTTTTCGGGCCGCTCGCTTGCCCACCATTTTCGTTGCTGTCAACGCCGCTGCCTGCTCCTCATGTTGGGAGCCACCTTCAAGTTGCTGTTGTCTTCCCTGCTATGAGATGATGGGCTTGCTACTTACTGCTGTACCGTTAGTAGACATTGCATTAAACCTCTGAGGAGTTTATTGTCTCGTTTAGGTGCAATTTCCAACGACGTGGTACCTGCTACTGCTAGCCATCTTCGCTTTACTGTTTTTGCTGTTCGTGTTGGGAACCACCTTCTAGTTGCTATTAACCTCGGTCACTGCGGTTTGGTCGCCCGATGCTGTTTTTGCTGTGCATGTGCATAAATACTTTTCCAGGTACACTTATTGATTTGATATTAATCTGCGACTTGTTGATGATGGCATAAACTGTTAATTAATATGCGTTCAATTGCGATTTTTCTTTATTGATGGCTATCCGTACGGACTGCTGCCCACCAACGTCGGAACTATGTACAACATCATGAACCTTAGTCTAAGCGTAGTTGTGTAGTGTTGCTGTGCGTATGCTCGAGTCTGTGTTGCTGTATGTGAGCTGTCCACGTCATCACCGATACCCAATTGTACGCGCGCAAAATCTTATGTAACTACCTATAGGTATAAATGCATATCTACATTAGCAGCTCAGCGCTGGCTGCCCGCGAATGTAGCCTCAGTCCGGTACGTTGGCTCATACTAGTAGGTTTCAATTTTTACTGCACTACTAGACCACTAATATATACCACAACTCTCTTTATTTGTAGACATGTTTGATTGCGCACGAGTGTTTCTTATTGTTAGCACGACTCAATCACGCACTCATTTAAGTTCAATTCCACTCTTTTACTGTAATTCAGTGATATTTACGAGTATTCAAATATAAATTTTTCTATTGTCTTAGTTAAAGTGTGATGTGCTGCGTATCATTTTGTATGCCCCAAAATTTCCGTCTCCTTCTCCCAGTCCTCGATCTGGTACTCGTAAATTCATTTCTCTCCGTTTTTAAATTCTACAGTCCACTTGCTATGATATTGAACACAAGGAATGAAAAGCAAATAATGTACAGTTAACGATTAATTGTCAAGTTATTTATAGGTCAATGAATAACGTTACTCTTTTATTTATTTTTACAACGAGTATAATTATTATCATTATACAAGACAATCTTCAACCAAATAGAGATAGAAACTTTTTATAGCCTAGATTTCCCAGCTCAAAAAGTAGTCAATAAATGTGACAGTAACTCTTAAACGAGTCTTCCTCGAAGTAAAATTATCGTTAACTATTGACAAAAATATTTTTCTCTTGTAATTGTTTTGGAACTAAACGAGTATATTTATTAGGATAATTATTTACACATGGATATTTTGTCTTATTCTTTGCTTATGCCAAACGATATTGAACTAAATAAAAGCAACCTTTAAATAAAAACTACTGTATTTCTGAAACTTAACTCAAACATACTTTAAATAAAACTTTTTACAATTTTCTAATGTTTCACTGATAACTCAATCGGTAACAAAAAAATAATTGAGAAGATTTTTCACTTATTAACAATTTCTCATAACAAAAAAAATTTAATGTCAAATTCAATATAATCGAGAGACAGTTTTACTGAAATACTTAAGTCATAACACCCATCGTTAAAGAGTTTTGATTCTAATAATAAATTGAGCGACCCTATAAACTTTAAATAGCGACTGCATTGCTGCAAGAGTTGAAGAAAGTATTTTAAAGTGCTTGTGAGAAGTTCTTGGAAGATCGAAAGCGCTGACACTAGGCTATGATGTCTGAAGAGGGTTATTTTAGAGATAATATAGGTTTGAATAAATGAATCAATACTTTTCTTAAAAAAAGAAATACTTACCCTATTTTTTTATCACACCTCGTAAAACAAGGAAATAATAGGTTAAATAAATGTTGAACACATTAGTTTGTTTTAAAACGTAAGAAAATTATTAAAGTTTTGCTAGACAGAAATTTATTATTCTGATCGTTGTCAAAGCAGCCCCTTATTTATATCTCAACTTAAGGATAATAGGATAATACTAATCAGAGCTAACAGTGTAGTAAGCCAGCAGCCCCTAAAAGCATCAGTAAATTTTTTTCCATAGATATCTCCACTTTAATAAGACTGTTTAATAGTGTATTAGAATTCCGTAAACCTAATTAAAATTATAAATGTATCAATAAAAAACCTCAGAACTCGGAAATTTTTGTGTCACTTATCCGCCTTACAAATTTGTCATTACTTTATACATGTTATATGATACCTTAGTACACGTTGTCACAGTAAGCAGTACTAGTCCATTAATTTTTAGTTGACAGAATTTAACTTTCGTTACATTTACTTTGAGAGAATTTTCGATATTGTTTGCTCGTAATTCTGTACAGTTTTTGGCCATTGTTATCATTTTTTAGTTTATGTGTCATTGTGTGACTTGTACGTATGCATGTACATGTTTATTGCCGTTTATTGTTACAGTTGGCATAAAGAGGGTGGTCAATATACAATTGAAACGTTGGTCACTTTGAATTAAGAATAAAACTTTTCGACAGCATGCCATAAAATTTTGTTACTGTATTCAAATGCATTTTTACTGTCGTTAGAATTAATACTTAAATATTTCATTAACTTGTTAAATGTTTTTATCTCTTATTGATTGACGTATTGGGGTGTATAAAGCAAGGTTCATCGTTAACATTTTTACGGTCCTCTTGGAATAACTCGGACCACTTATAAACACTTTATTTACTCAGAATCAACTTACCATACGCCATATGCAACATCTTAAAAACACATTTTAGGAGCAACATCTTCGTACCTCTGACATTAGAACAATGTATTCTGTAAAGCCTAAACTATGAGAGGGTCTATGCCAAAAATAAATTTACAAGTTGTTTAAGGTTGGCAGCATCATCACCACCATGAAGAAAACAGACGAAGTTGTGCTCTAGGCATTTAAGCACCGTTAACCACCGTTAAGCACTAATACAATAGGTGTACCAAAAATCTTAAATGCCAATTTATTATATTTATCAAATCAACTGGTTAATGGTGTGTACATGCGTAGAAAATAGGCAGTGACACCACCAATCTATGAATAACTTGGAATTTCAATTTTTGAATAGACCCAGCATATAATCGTGACAAGTGTACCGATGCACCAAGAATTTAGAAAATTTAATTAAGTATACAAAGAGCGGAGAATTCAAAAAATTACTTTTTTTTCACCACCAAATACTGCAACGAAACGGATCATTTGCAATGACATAAAAATACTTTTAATGCATTATTTAAAAAGCTCTAAAAAATTTAAGTATTTTGTTCAAGTACACCACGCAAAGAAAAATTATCTTTTCATAAGACAAATGTCTTTTTATCGATCTCACTTATTTTTTTAGTCGTTATTTTATAAAAAAGACTTTAACTATTTGTGGTAAGCAACATAAAACTTTACAGATTAGTTTTCAGTTTCATTTTTTTTTCTTTTTATTTGATGCATAAATGAAATTTCTTAGTGAAACTTATTAACTAATTTGCACTAAATGTAAATATAAATTTATTAAAAAGCTGTTAGTTAATTTGCCATATTTTTGATGATTATTAGCAAAAAACGAAGTTAATAATACTTACCCATAAAATTAAGATAACCTTCACCTCCCAGTGAGTGCGTTATAAGAGTTAACATATTATGTAAAGCAATGCCTCTGTCAATTACTGGATTCGATGGACTAAACGTACTCATAAAAGTGTACATATCCTTGTCCATTAACCAGAATGCTATTGTCTTATCACCAACAAGAGCTTGATCATGAGATTCTGAATATGCAACAGTTTTTTCCATCCACCTTCGATTACATAGTGTCCAAACAATCTCTCCTATATTCCAATCCTCATCCCTCACTTCTTTAAGAAGCTTAATCCACTTATCTGGTATAGCCATACCTAAGCGATAATCAAATCCAAGACCTCCCTCATTAATGGGTCTATATTATAAAGAAATTATGTTATTTAAAAAATTTTATTTAAAAAAGACTATATTAAAAAGTCATTATGCTTAAATGAAAAACAAGATGGTTAGGCATGTTCAGCTAACACTATGTTATCACTGAAAAGTAGTGTAGCTTAGAATATTCTACCTTATAAAGTTATAAAGAGAAAAATAATTGTTCGTTTTTTTTATTTTGATCAACTAGTATGGCCACACTCATTTACAGCCAAACAAGTACTACTATCTTCGCTGTATCTTGCGTTTAGCTATAGCAGACAAGAGGAGAGGCGGTACAGTCAATACGTACCCTACCCGATCCAAGGTCCCTGCACCTATACCTATTCCTACTACGGGCGACTCGGCCAACACTCGACTGTGCACAAAAGTTGGTATGGGTGTGTACCAACACATGCAGGTAGCTGGGATACCGAGGCAGCACGAATCGGCGGGCCAGCAGGAGAGCCACTCTCGCTCTTGTCTCCTGGCCGTCGGGACGTCGGGACATATGGTTCAGAGGCAACGTTAGTTTACGTACATTGTATCGGTCGTGTATGTGAGAATATAGTAACTTTGTACTGCTCCAGACGACAACAGGAGATGTAGCAACAGCTACCTGTTAACGATCTGGGCTACTGCAACTATCCTCACACGCACGCTGTCAAGAATTGTGCTGTCCAAGTGCCGACGCCTGCCGATCGGACGCCGTTACCCGCACCTAGTACACCCATTAAAATCTGACTTCTGCAACCACACGGTAGGTCTACTCCTGTGTATCCTATCTCTATCGTGAAAAGCATTGTACCGAGCAGCAGCTGCCGAACCTGCACCAGCAGGGCTAAGTCTACATTGATTAGGCCAGGTCAGATAGTTAGGCAGTATAGTTCGTGGTATAGTCACTACAGTGGATGGATTAAAATGAAAACAGTACTTGTATGTGAAAATATAGGTGTCTTCCATTGATGTGTGCTTGAGTGCCAAATATCTGTCCCATCCCTTCAGTCCTGCAAAAAATAATAACACGCCGTGTCTTGCTGCTAACTGCAAAGCGAGCAAGGCGCGACACGTTACATGGCGCTCGACTAGTTGTATAGGCAATCGTTCGGCACGGTGCTCTTTAGCGGCCATTTTGTGTGCACGCCGTGTGCTACGGCAGGTAGGTTCGCTTACGCGTACTGCCTGGCCACTTTGTTTACACTTTTATATACATATATATGTGAATTGGTTGCCTGGAATGGTATTTGTGCTTGTGGTACGCGCTGTTTAAAATAACATATTTTTGCATTAAACATCATTTAGTAATTAATTTATGTATTCATTAAATTTTAACAATTTTCTCGTTTATACTTCCTGCTGTTTTGCCGTTGCATGTGTGTACTAGAGTAGAGGTGGGTGTTGCGAGGGTAAATGGAAGTCTCTCTGTATTTTTCGAACGCGACCTTATACAGAAACGACTAGGCATCGCATAGTGTATATGATTTGAAAATGCGAGTATAAAGGGAAGTGATAAAGTCAGATACTCTTATGTAAAAAACGACGTACGGGTATATGGATATTTTGAAGATTAGTTTCGAGAATTCGAAGAATCTCTACATTAGCTTACTGATTATTTTGAACTATTGGTCACGATACACTATCTCTTCCGTAGCATACATACAACACATATATTACTTTACTGCGTACACTTTATCATACAATATTTCTTATTTCTGTAACCTCTAATATTACGTATACATAAATATGACGGTCTCACTGGAAGACTTGGAATTTTCCTTTAGTGGGAGTGCGACGGGGGGGGCGAACTTCAAGCGCTAAGTCACGAAATAATAACAAGAGTGATCGCTTATACAATTATACAATACACGAATGGAAAAATATTCCAATATTTGATATTTTTGGGATTAAGAAGTAATGGGACCATGCCGGAAGTAAGGGATTGATTGCAACGTTTCTTAAATAGAAAATATATTGGACCGATAGCTAGTGCATGGAATAAAGAAGTTGATGAGGTAACGCAATCAGAAAAAAATAATTCAGCTATGGAACTTTCAGATGTAGAATATAGGCTAGAATGCCACGATACTCAATTCATACACAACAAATCGTCAGAATCGATCGCCAGCATTGTAGGAGTAAATCGTGTGACCACCTTTTCACCTGCACCTTAATAATTTCGTGAGGTTGTGAGCAGGTAAGTGCGTTACGATCTTGATAATGTTAGGATGATAAAGAACCGAGGAGGAATGGAATCGGTAGTGCGCGATACACAGATGCTAATACACGTGTACCAGACTTCGTAAGCGTACAGGAGGACGTATGACTGGCCATCATAATAGATAGTACGAGATCCTCCTAATAGACCATTCAAGATATTAGCGGCAGGTCCTGCACACAACTCGGGGGCAAACTTGGCACTTACACCAGGGGCAAGTAGGGCTACCGGAGAAGACGTCAGGATTGGGCACAGAGGACAAGAAGCAGGTTTGGTGATGGGTCATAGGGCAAATCTGGCACTCAATGACAATAGCAGCCACTTAAATTTTGGAGCTGAAAATAGGATACGTGCTGACGCAAACGGATGTCGAGTAACATGGTCAGACCAAAAGCCTATCAATTATCGCCAAGAAGTCACGGCAGCTTATGTACACCGTCATCACACACAATCGGGGTATTCGCTCCGTGAATGACACGCAGCGCCGCTCTCGGTGTCAGAATCACGCAATACCGTACCCTCGTATGATTAAATCGTAACACTGTCGCTTATAGGAGAAAGTATTATTTATTGAATAAGACGTACATACTGCTATCGCGTAAACATCAGCACCCTAAAAAATGGATATGATTATCCAAACAGGCTTTAAAAGTATAAGTTGCAACATAGTTTTTAATAATGAAACGCTGAAAAAAAATAAAAAATTAGTAGAGAGTGGGCACGTTGCCTACGTACAGGAATATGTAAATAAAGGAGTCGGTCATCTGATCAACTGCTATGTTGGGAGACAAACTCTGTCAGCTTAAATCCATACAAAGTAGAATTATCTGTAAGTACATTATTGCCTATGCTTGACAAATGTAGGTTATGGTAACATATACATAAATGTGTGCTACAAACTGCCGTCAGGACTGTCAAATTTTCACGATAATTTTACTTATAATCAATAATAATAATAAAGAAAATTCCGTAGGTTAGGTACGAACTTTTGTCTCGTAACTGCCCTAATCCACAGCTCCTTCTGTTTTGTTTCATGGGGTCTACTTGGGAATTTAAACAGCACCACCCCCTGCTTTTCTTTCTTGTTGCAATTAACAACGCAACACTGTCTCGTACGCATTTCGTTACTTTGTGAACGTAAACACTGATTCAGATTATACAGCTATAGCGGCAGCCTACGTCGACTGCTTGGAGTAGTTGGAGTTCTTGCTCTCACGTATACAACACTACAGATAAGTATGTGTGTTGTGTACTATATGACAGATGATATTTAATAACCCATTATTTAAAATTTCGGGCGATTTGAAGTGCCTAGCAAAATTATTTTTCCGTATTATAGACCCGGTTTGGCTAAACATTTTTTTTCCGCCTTCGATTTCTCAACTAATTACTTTAAATGAAATAAAATCTTTTCTCATATAAGACAACGCTTACTGTAAGATTCATGGGGGTACGGGTTCGCCAACTTTGCTCACCTACAGCGCTGCAGTCGTTTTTTTTATCCCCTCCAACCTGATGCACGGAGCGAATAGTGGTACAATTCGTCACGCAGATGGCAAGGTTGAGCATAATACCACGTTAACATCCCAAACGCTCAACATACCCCATTATACATCGAATAGACCCCAAGCGCACTCTACTGTTCATTCATACAATCCTGGTACAACACTGCGACAGACTTACGGTATAACCTACTTACAAACGCTAAACGTACCCCAGCACTCGCCAATATATCCTGCGAGTATACAGTTACCGACAACCAATTACATCAGCCAACCGAGGATGGATATATACAGTCATAACTCCCGGAACGTCCCTGCGTACGGACAACAGTTCAACCCAGAATCTCAAGGTAATTACCAATTAGTTCCGAGTACTGATTTCCGGCAAAAGGGAGAAGGCGATTTCCATACGAACGCTATGATAAATGATTACTAGAGGAAAAGGAGTAAAGGCCTTATGGGGGATATTAAGTTTTAATTTTTTTTGTAGTAGAAAAGGTGTTTAACACAAAAAGTTTCCAGAGTACATACTTTAAATTTTGTAAGAGTTAGGTTCTTATTTTTTTTACATGATGAAATCGTTTATTAAGGCCAAAAACATATTTTCAAAGGTATGAAGTACAGTTTAACCTACCATCAAGCTGCTTGTTTACCTCTGAGCAGGCGCAACAGTGACAGCAGCAGCAGCAGAAACGAGTAGCTCAATGTAAGGTTCACTGTACTTCGTACCGTCAAAAAGCTGTTTACGGCATAAATAAACGATTTCATCGTATGAAAAATATAACAACCTAACTCTCATGATGTTAAAAATATAAAATACAATAAATTTTTCTCCTCCTTGTTCTTCGCTTTTTGATGCTTCCGTAGGTGGCACTCCATTGCTTGATGCGGGCCAACAAAAACTAGCACCCGTCGTGTATAGAAGTGAGCGGCGGTTAAAACATTCTTTTTAGATACATGCATCACACACTCTCCCTCAACTATCATAGGGACACTTACAGATTGTCCTGGGTTGCGTGTGGCGGGTCCTTTTCCGGGCTTGCGTTGGAGGCCCGGCGACAGGTGAAGCCGGATGATGAGGCCCGGGTAAGTCTGGGTAACCACATCTGATATGGCTGTACGCCTCATAAACAAAAAAGACGTGGTGGGCCGACTAATCTAGGCTTACTACCACTGAGGAGGCTATATGGCGGCACCTAAGTGCCTTAGGCCAGCCCGTTTTGTTGGGTTGTGTGTGCGGTCTCGGGACTGTACACCTGCCACTCGTCTTGCTGGAATGACCGT